GGTCTCTAGTTTCGATTAGCTTAGACCCCAACTCCTTCAAAAAGCTAGCAGCACTTTTACCCCAGGCACCAAGTGTCTCTGAGGCAATGGGGACAAAATTGTAGTGGTGCTCAAGGTCTCTGTATTTACGTGACTTGGTCGCTTCTCGATGATTGGCAGCTCCTCCTGCTTGTGTAGCACTGAAGTCAACATAGGTGTTGGCTAAAGTTGAAACGCAAGTGTAGTCCCACACCAACTGTCTACCATTCTTCCAGGGGTTCACCGTGATTCCGTCTGGGCGACCGACAGGCTCATCAGAGTTGCGGGACATTAGGTAACGGGGCTCTCTCTCTGCTGGACAACCGGCTGTGGTAAGGCTTCTCTTAATAATGTCATTGACCTCGCCGTGTCTTGCATGCCATCCTCCTGTCCTTTGGCAGAGAAGGCCATTCCGTCCGTATCTGTCGGCCTCTGCCTCGCCGCAAATACACCTGTATTCAGTGTGGATTGGGGCAGCGAGGCGGAGAGCCACGGCAATTCGGAGGGCCTGCGGTGTGAGACGGGTACCGGTTGCTGACATTGGGGTTGCTAATAGGAAATCACCTGCATGGGGAGCTGCTACAGCTCTAAGTCGGGCAGTGTCATGTGGTGTTGTCACAGCTTCTAGCAAAGTCGCAGCTTCTTGGTCGGCAATGGGGCGATCCCAGCTGGATTGCTTATGGGCTTCAGAAGCCGGTGGTTGGGGTGCTGGTCCTGCGAGAGAAACCCATTTGGTTGTGCAATCTGTGAAGCTGGGATCATGTACCCCTGCCTGTTGAACTAGGTGCTCAGGTAGGATTTCCTTCACCACGTTGTCAGACCCCACTGAAGAGGACAGGAACGCTGGTACAGCAATTTGTGTTGCTGTGCGCACGCCAAGGCCTGCTGGCCTTGCGGAGTGGGCGTGCAGCGCCGGCCCCTAAGTGTTACGCTGTCCGCAGCTACTTACTCTGACTTGTAGGAGTAATGTTAAACTTGCCCTATAGGTGTATTCTGAAGTTACTGGTAATTTACGAATTTACATTATGTCTGGGAATGGGGCATTATTTCTGTCACGTGTTAGGCCACTATATGCTACTCTAAATGCCCTGAATCTACTTGAAAAATATGTTAGACGTTTGCCTTACTTGTACTCATAGATAATAAGGATTCGGCGTTCTGCAGACCATGTTTTATTTAGTTACCGGCTATAAGCATATGTATTAATGTTATTAAGTTGTTGTAGTGTACTCAAGTTATACATGTATATTTTATGCAGTTGTAAATTATACAAGTTATAGCCGCTTCATTAACATGGTCTGCAAAAAATATTTACTTGTTCTACTATTTTTTTTTTGAGATATATACAAGAGTTGTTCCATTCTTGTACAGCCACTAGTACGCGTAGAGTTTCGGGCAGGTCCCTGGAATACGATCCCCGCCGCGAAGAATCGTTGTTACAACCAAGTACACATTTTACTGTTGAGTTAAACAGAGGCTACAGTTAAGGAATTGCGCCCAGTAAATCCTCCCCGGCCAGGATACGAACCCATGACATAGCGCTCGCGGAACGCCAGGCGAGTGTCTTACCACTACACCACGGAGACTTATTAAATAAATAGGCCCCCAAGCTGTTGGTGTCTTATTCCTCCCTGATCAGAAAATAGATGGGACAGAGTAATTAGGTCAAGTGGAGGAGTAGGTCTGTATATTAAAGAGGAGCTGGCATGTACAGAGCTCCTGAACTCGTCCAATGAGGTGGTAGAGGTACTTGGAATCAAGGTAGAAAATATGAATCTACTTATTATTTTAATATACAAACCGCCAGATGCAACAGTTGAGGAATTCACTGAACAGATCCACAAAATAGAGAATATCGTTGATAACCTAGCAAACCCAGTACCAGATATCATCTTCCTTGGAGACTTCAATCTACCCAGTTTAAAATGGAGAATAGTAAACAATAACATCATAGCAGGAAGTCAACCTGGAAATAACCAACCACAGGTTAGAGAACTACTGAGATTCTGTGACAAATTCCTCTCAGTCAGCTGATTACAGAACCAACTAGGAACGAAAACACGCTGGACCTGATATTCACGAACAATGAGGAGCTAATCAGAGACATTACTGTCTCAGACACTACGTACTCGGACCACAAGCTCATTGAAGTGCAAACTAACATTAATAACGGTAGTAGGCCCAAGAGAAACAACAAACGAGAAGGGCTATTCAATAAATTCAATTTTAATAATAAGAGGATAGACTGGGAGAAAATAAACAGGGAACTTACAAACATTCAATGGGAAAATGTTCTAAGAAATAAAAATCCTACACAAGGAATAGAAAAACTGACTTCTGAAGCATATGAAGTCTGTCTGAAACATGTTCCTTTGAGGAAAGCCAGAAAGAGGTCAAATGTAGAAAGAGAACACAGACGACATTACAAAAGAAGGAAGAAATTAACGGAAATGCTTAAGCAGACACGACTCTCCATACAAAGAAAAAATAACTTAAACAGGGAGATTGAAGAAATCGAAGAGACTGAAGCATTCCTATCAGACTGAAGAAAGGCAACTAGAACAGAAAGCAATTCAAGAAATAAAGAAAAACACAAAATATTTCTTCACATATGCTAAATCAAAAGCGAAAACCACTGCCAGTATTAGACCTATTCGTATTAGTGAAAGTTCATACACTGAGAATGACAAAGAAATTAGTGAAATCCTAAAAAAGAAGTATGAGGACATGTTTAGTACTCCGATACTCAGCATGAAAGTGGAAGATTCGGACAATTTCTTTATGAATGATACTCAAACACCTGTAAATATAACTGATGCCAACACGAGCGTGGCAGATTTTGAAAGAGAAATTGACAATATGCCCATGCACTCAGCCCCGGGTCCAGACTCATGGAATTCAATATCCAGTCTTGCAGTCTCCGTGGTGTAGTGGTAAGACACTCGCCTGGCGTTCCGCGAGCGCTATGTCATGGGTTCGTATCCTGGCCGGGGAGGATTTACTGGGCGCAATTCCTTAACTGTAGCCTCTGTTTAACGCAACAGTAAAATGTGTACTTGGTTGTAACAACGATTCTTCGCGGCAGGGGATCGTATTCCAGGGACCATAGGATTAAGGACTTGCCCGAAACGCTACGCGTACTAGTGGCTGTACAAGAATGTAACAACTCTTGTATATATCTCAAAAAAAAATAAAAATAAAATATTTATAAAGAAATGCGAAGTGCCAGTAGCACAGGCACTCAGTACAGTGTGGAGGAAGAGCTTAGACACAGAGAAAATACCAGATGTGCTTAAAGCAGCAGACATTGCCCCTCTACACAAGGGAGGTAGCAAAGCATTGGCAAAGAATTATAGACCAGTTGCACTAACCTCCCACATAATAAAAGTATTTGAGAGAGTGATCAGGAGTCAGGTCACTAGATTCATGGAAACCAATGACCTCCACAATCCAGGCCAACATGGATTTAGAGCAGGAAGATCATGCCTCTCACAGCTACTTGACCACTATGACAAAATCACTGAGGCATTAGAGGAAAAACATAATGCAGATGTCGTATACACAGATTTTGCAAAGGCATTCGACAAATGTGACCATGGAGTGATTGCACACAAAATTAGGTCAATGGGTATAACTGGTAAAGTAGGACGCTGTTAGTTTAGTTCATTTATTATGCACCCCATACCCATCCCGTGGGCGGTAATGGAAAGGTTTACAGAGGCACATAATGGGCTCAGGGACTGAACCCCACAATTCATTTAGCTAAGCAAGTTACAATCTTGATGAGCTAGTTACAAAATTCAATATAAGTCGTCACATCAACAATGAGTTCGAGATCGACCTCAAGTACAGGTTCTAAATTAAGCAACTGACATATGTGGAGAGCTAGTGTCACAATTTATATGTTTGTCCTGCACACCGCCCCCCATCCAGTGGGCAGCGGTGGATAGGTTACAATCACTCAGTTACTACCTACAGTTACTAAAGGGAGCAGACGCAATATGTCATAAGTGATACCATCTTCAACCGGTGAAGATGGTATCACTTATGATATATTGCTTCTGCTCTTTTTAGTACCAGGGAATCCCCTGCTTGAGCTGTATAATATGAGCTATGTTACTGGGGAACTTCCTATCTCTTGGACCAACAGTATAATCATTCCAATTCCCAAGCCAAATCAAGAGAATGCTTTCCGCCCAATTTCCCTTACTAGCTGCATTTGCAAAACATTCGAGAGAATGGTCCTAAACCGTCTCCTCCATAGAATAAGAACCATGCTATCCCCCCAGATATATGGCTTCATGCATGGAAGGTTAGCAAACTGGGGATATTTGGCTAAAATTTCTGGTAGCAGATCATTTTGAATCAAATATTTACACATCGTTGGAACATTGGTTTAGAATTGTCTCTAAATTCACGTATCTTTTCGCACTCCATCACATAGTGACGGAGGGTGTGCGAATAATTTTGTTGACACAGTTTACATTTGGTTAGGTCTACATCAGCAGATAATGAGAATTCCCAGATATACTTGTAACCGAGTCTAAGCCGAGCAGTAGTAACATCTAGAAGTCTGCTGATTTTATTGGATGATCCGATGGGTATGGAGTGCATAAAAATGAATTAAACTAAGCATATGCGTGAGTTAAAGAATAATGTCTTGTCAGTAGTAACGTGTATAAACGTCTAGTGACCTTATTACATGACCCAGAGATGTGTAGGTAAATTTGGTGTTTACAATTAGAAACTCTAATACTTCTAGTGGACTAATTATATCAAATATTTCTTCATTAAAGTGCCTGTTATTTGTTGCATCCGAAAGTGGTGAATGGGAAATGATGTTGTAACGTATACTTTTTATTATATTATGTGTTCATATTTGTAGACTGGAAAAAAATATTTATTTACTGATATCTAAAATTTATTTCATAGCGTGAGTGATAATGGAGTGACTTAGAGGCGGTGAAGATTGGCTGAATTCCGCCACACGAACGGACGAGTTGCCAGCTGATGGATATAAACAATATGGCGGATAGTCAATCTGACGTTCTGCTGGAGTAGTTTGATGGTGGTGAAAGAAAGTTTAGTAATGGCGGCCACATATTTCCCAGGTTCTGGAGATATTATTCATCTCAACGTTGGAGGACAAAGGTTTGTAAAGCTATAAGTAGAGAGAGAGAGAGAGATGTTCATGAATTGAGAGGAGGTGTAAATGGGCCAAGGAATCTTGTATCTGTCTTTGTTAGGTGTCGTGTGATGCACAAGATGCTCCACTGTTATCTTGCTCCACTGACTCGCAGTGGCCTTCACCCCTCATAGTACCCCTACACACTATGCACACTATAAGTCAGAATAGTACATAGACACTTGTAAATAATAACTATAGTTGTTGTTTACAAGTGACGATTACTTGTAAACATTTACAAGACGATTTAATGGGTTTACATTATTTGTAAACAATAACTATAGTTATTGCTTAAAATGACAACACAAATGTTGCAATGTTTATTATATTTATTTGTTTATTTATTTGTAAGAAGGTACATTGAGTTGAGAAAGTACAAACACTGGGGTTTGAGTGTATCAGTCTTGCAAAGCCACTAACTCATAGCATATCAGACAAGTCTTTAAGCTAAACAAAAGGTAACAGTGTTTGAGTTAAACATAATTTAATTACAAATTGATAGAATATATGATGACCAAATCCCACACCAGAAGATAAAGAAATGACGTTTCGGTCTATCCTCGACCATTATCAAGTCATATGTCTCTTGATAGAATATATTATATTGATGGAGTTGAATGTCTTAAGTATTAAACTGGGAGAGTTGGCAGTGCAAGATACAATGAGAGTTTGAATCACACGGTAGGAAACTATGAGGATGAAATTAGGTACTTTTTGGTTTTACTTTTGAATAAAGCATAGGCTACCTTACCTTGAGGTTACCTTGAGGTGCTTCCGGGGCTTAGCGTCCCCGCGGCCCGGTCGTCGACCAGGCCTCCTGGTTGCCGGACTGATCAACCAGGCTGTTGGACGCGGCTGCTCGCAGCCTGACGTACGAGTCACAGCCTGGTTGATCAGGTATCAATGGACAATCGATCAGGCTGGACAATTCTTTTATTCATTAGGGAGTGAGTTCCATAGACTGAGTCCTTTTATTTGCATGAAGTTTTTGCACAGATTTAGTCTGACACTAAGAATGTCAGAGAGAGAGTTCTTTCTGATGTGGTCATGGGTTCTATTACATCTATCAAGGAAGGAAGAGTTTCAGATCAGGATTATCATATAGGAACAAGGTTTTGTACATGTAAATAGCACATGAGAATATGTGGCATGAATGTATGTTTAGCATGTTAAGGGACTTAGAGAGGCTGTGTGTTGTCTGAAGGCAGAGTTTGTTATAGTTCTAATAACAGATTTTTTGCTGTGTGATGATAGGCGTGCGGTAATTTGCAGTGGTTGAACCCCATGCACAGATACTGTATGTTAGATAGGGATAGGTTAGCGAGTAGTACAATGAGAGGAGAGCAGAGTATGGAACATATATGATTTTAGTGTTATGGTTCTCTCCTGCATAGCAGTAGATTCGGCCTGTTCCTTACCACCTACATATCAGCATGCTCCAACATCAACAACAATACATGCCAAAACGTATTGTCTAGACACCTTCCCCCCCCTCCACCCTACCTTCCACGAGAGACAGTGCACCTGCAATCTTGGCCGCCACTTGACGCCACCAATAAACTATCACAATGGTCATTATCTTGCTGGCTTCTCATCTACAACTCCAGCATTCATGCCAAAATGACGTCGCAGCCCATGTATAAAGGTTTGCCAGGGTCCAGCACAGTAGATTACCCTTCTAGTTCTCATTGCTTCCGCATTTATCCTCGCCCATGAGTGACAGTAGACACATATAGCATTTTATATAAAGTTTTACCTTCGCCTTTGTTATTAACATAAAATTCACTTGTACTGTATATATTTCTCTTTTGATTGTGTTTAAGCCAAGTGGATTAGGGGTTTTGTTTTCATTAATTGTTACTTATCATTTTGTGTAAAATTAGTCACATTTTTTATATTAAATGTTTAAAGTTGTTATTCTCTCTCTTTTTTCCCACAATTGACACACAGTAAAAGGACCCAGCAGTTTTATTTTACTATATTTTCTGTCTTTTTTTTTATTAATGTGAGATTGGTGCAACACCTGCCAGAATAGTTACTGCTCTATTCTTGATCACATTACATTAGAGAGTATATTGACTGCTTTTGAGACTTTTTTTTTGGCTGTGTGTTGTACGTGGATGCTGAATTTTAGTCTCTTGTCTATGTAGTCACTTAGTTGTGCTTGCAGTGGTTGAGGTCTGGCTCTTTGGGCCCGCCTCTCAACTGTCAATAAATCAACTTCTTAATTTTTCTCTCTCTCTCTCTCCTTACACACACACGCACACACACTTCCCCAGGATGCAGCCCGTAGCAGCTGTCTAACTCCCAGGTACCTATTTACTGCTTGGTAAACAGGTGCATCAGGATGAAAAAACTGCCCATTTGTTTCCACCTTTACCAGGGATCGAACCTGGACCCTTAGAACTACGAATCCTGAGAGCTGTCCACTCAGCAGTCAGGCCCCCTGTATGGGCCAAGGAACGTTCCATCATTTTTAATGCTAATGTTAACACTGTCTATCTGAAAGTGAATTTGGTTTGACGATTTACTTCCAAATAAAATGTAGGTCTTTTCTATGTTAAGTGTGAGTTTGTTTGTTGATATCCAGTTTTTGATGTCAAAACTTTGACATCAAAAGTCATTCATCCAACATTGAGAGGCTCTGAATGAACTTTTTTCTAATTCGTTAGTTACAATGTTATTTAGTATGTGTGGATTGGGCTCTGAGTGGATGAAGGTAGTATTGCCAGCAAATAGTATAGGTTTAAGAATGTTAAGAGACATTTGGCAAATCCACGGTGTATATAAGAAGTAGGAGAGGGCCTAAGATGCTGCCCTGTGGCACTCCTACAATTAATGGTAGAGTGGGGAAGTTATGTCATTGATGGCTACATATTAGGGTTTATCATTAAGATATGATCGATTATAGTTCAGCACAAGGCCTCAAATTCCAGTGATGAAGTTTAAGTATGAGGTAGTTATGGTTTACAGTATCAAAGGCCTTTCTCAGGTCAATTCAGAGGTCAGTTGGGAACTCATTTTTATCAAGGGCTGTGTAGATTATATCAAGCAGACTAATTGACCTGAATTTACCTGAGCCACTAACACTAGTGGCCTCTATGAGGACAGGAAGCTGACGGCTTGCCGAAGGTGACCCCCCCCCACCCCTCTAGTTGATCTTTTCCAGTTGCACTTTAAAAGTTAACAAAGTTTTGGCATTTACGGCTTCAGCAGGTAGCCAGTTCCATGGGTTTACATATAACCCTGTGGGTGAAAAAGCATCTCCTGTTCTCAGTCCTACATTGTGGCTTGTAATTGCATCATTGGTATTCTTTGGGAACAGAAGCCAAACTGGCAGGGATTTAACATGTTGAATTTTACAAAGTGGGGAAAGAGCTATTTGTAAATAATTTTTTCAAATATTTTTGATAGTATTATTAAATATGATATTGGTCTATAATTGTCAGCTTTCTTGCCTCCTCTATGAATTGGCGTTATTCTTACTTTCTGGGGGAAGCCCCTACGGCTCCCAGGAGCTTACTAGCTTACTAGGCTGGTATGCTAATGTCTGACTTTGGCATCAGTCATGTGTATGGAGTTTTATGGGCCTACCGGGGACCACAAGCCAGAACCTGGCCAATGGCCTATAGAAACCCCTGTGTAATTGGAAGCATTCTATGTCTTCCATCGACCGGGTTAGACACCCAGAAAGGTAGGCGTCCCAAAACAAACCTCTTATTTTGATGAAAATTACAACCAAAAGCCGAACGAGTGGATAGAACTCCCCAAACAAAAACGAGCAAACTAGTATGATGTCACCCGTCGTCGTGCCGCTGTCTGCGCAGCCCCCCTCCCCGGAAGGGGGAAGGGGTAGCCCCAGACCTACTGCGCCGGGGATCCACACCCCCAGTTCTGAGGCTGGGTGTCAAAATACAGGTACGTGAAAAAAACGCCAACTGGAGGGAGGGAGGGATGCCGGGGTGCCTCCAGGACTCACCAAGAAAATGGCGTTTCATTACATTCAACGCTGGTTTTCTGGGAGGAGCCCCTACGGCTCCCCAGAGCTAACTACCTACAGAGGAAAAGAATAGGGACTTACCCAGGAGGCGATTACTGCTTACTCCTCAACCCGAAGTCGAGACAACTGGCTGCATCCGCCGACCCAAAGCGACACAGGCCCGACTGGGCCCAGGAACGTTTACAAGGTAACGAGCAGCCAGGACCCTGTTTGACCGCCAAAAAATCTCAGCGCCCGAATGTCAGCCCAGGACATATTGCCAAAGACGGCGGCAAGAGCCACGAACTTGCAGACGTCATGGGCACGGGGATAGACTGCAGGCTGGCTAGCCTTAATAACCCTGCGGACGACTTGGGAGACCCACACCCTCGAACAGGGAAGAAGGGAAACCGGATCAACCCAAAGTGCATCCACGGACACAGAAGCCGTGGTGCGCAAATAACTGCGGAGAGCCGCAATCGGACACAAAACATGATACACCCCCGGCCGAACCAACCAAGCATTAACAACTCGGGGGACCCCTCTGGAATGCAGCAGTCTCATTCTTTGCCAGAAAAAAGAAGAAAAAAGGATTCATTTATTTATAAATGATTAATTTTAAATAATTAATTTTCTTCACTAACCTGGTGTACTGTGTTATCCAACCTTATCTAATTTGTGGATAATTTTACTTAATACATTTTGGTTCTTTCCAGATTCAGCACATCACGGCACACACTTACCTGGGTTCCTGACACTTTCTTCACATCCTTACTCTCTGGACGAATTTCAACACTCCGAGATGAATCTGGTGCAATATTCATTGATCGAGACCCATCTCTCTTCAGTATTATTCTCAATTATCTTCGCACACGTGATCTTAACATGTCAGTTGTTGACATTAATGCCCTAAGGTATAGACATGTAGTATTTTAACAAAGTTAACTCATATTTAGGTATACAGTGTGTCCTCACTTGAACGAACTATATGGGGCGAAGCCGATTCGTTCCAGTACGGAATTCGTTCCATCCGTCTGGCTCTATATATATATATATATATATATATTATATATATATATATATATATATATATATATATATATATATATATATATATATATATGTTGTACCTAGTAGCCAGAACGCACTTCTCGGCCTACTATTCAAGGCCCGATTTGCCTAATAAGCCAAGTTTTCCTGAATTAATATATTTTCTCAATTTTTTTTCTTATGAAATGATAAAGCTACCCATTTCATTATGTATGAGGTCAGTTAGTTTTTATTGGAGTTAAAATTAACGTAGATATATGACCGAACCTAACCAACCCTACCTAACCTAACCTATCTTTATAGGTTAGGTTAGGTTAGGTAGCCGAAAAAGTTAGGTTAGGTAGGTTAGGTAGTCGAAAAAACATTAATTCATGAAAACTTGGCTTATTAGGCAAATCGGGCCTTGAATAGTAGGCTGAGAAGTGCGTTCTGGCTACTAGGTACGACATATATATATATATATATATATATATATATATATATATATATATATATATATATATATATATATATATATATATATATATATATATATATATATATATATATATATATATATATATATATATATATATATATATTATTTATTTTATTTATTTATTTATTAGTATATTTTGGTAGCAGTCTTTCTTGTAAACATTTATTATTAAATATGACCGAAAAAGTAAGATTAATAATTCTAACACGAATTTTCTCAATATTTCTTATGTTTCTTTTCACTGTCGATGGTAATTGAAAAATCAATTCTCCAAAATTCATTTTTATTTCTAGTCTGACGCGACACTTGAACGCATTTCGTAATAACATATTACATTTTCATAGACTTTAGTTTAAACACACACAACTGTAACCTGCAAACACTAAACAGAGTTCTACTATGCTATAATTTAAACAGCTTTCATTTTATATACCTGCATTTGGGTGAGGTGATATGTTACAACAGTTTTGGATGAGGTGAAAACAAACTTTCAACACAAGCCAGAACACGAAACAATGGGTATAATATTGGGTAAGTTAACTTAACACTTTAGTGCGCGCGGCACTCCCTGAAAAAAAAAGCGGGTTGTGCGCGCGGCGTTCTGGGCGCTCAAGCGTAAACACAAAAAAGTTTATAATCTTTTCACGCTCCTAACATCAATTCTCGAGCTACGTTTTTCATTTTGGTATCAATGCGTTGGCAATAAAATTCTCTACAAGATCATATGCATAAAATGTCACCCAAGCATTTGCTATCCCACCACGAAGTAAATAAACACGAAGATGACTCGCCGTGACACCCAAACAGGAAGTAAATGTTCATACTCTTTCGTTTGTTGCCAGCCTCACAGTCATCCTACAGCGCTTATTTTGATATCACTGAACTCGCAATAAAATTCCCCACCCAGACATATGCCTATCAATGTCTAATTATGTTCCGCACGAGTGTGGGAACTGGGCGAAGCGTTAGCCGTGATTTCAGCAGCGACGACACTGTTGTGATGCAGCGCTTTGAAAGTTTATACTTATTTCACTGTCATGACATTATTTCTCGAGCTACGTATTTCATTTTTATAGCAATGTGTTCGCAATAGAAAGTTCTATAAGAACATGGGTAGAATTGGCCAACAGAGCGTCAAATAAATTTGCGGCGAATAAAATCTTACGCGAATCTTACGCGTGTTTGTACCCGTGAGCGTAAAAAGTTTTTACTTTGCTCATGTTTTTTCAAGTTTATACTTGATTCACTCCGTTTTTTTTGTTTGTATAGTGTTCGGAATAAAATTCTCTACACAGACATATGCATATAAATGTAGAATCATGATCGCGGCCAACACAAGAGTGTGTGGAGTGCGCGATTACCCTCGTTATGTCACCAATTCAATAGTCTCTCCTCTAAGTTACAATACATTGCCGTTTTCTCAAATAGGCACAGTGCCTATTAGAGAAAACAAAAATTTAATGGCAAACATATTCATACAAACCCCAAGTCGATCGAGTATTAAATACCCAATATAACACGGTCCGTAAATTTACGTCGTGATCCGACAAGCGGTTAAGCAAACCGCCCGTAAGTCCAAGTCGAAAATCCAGGAAAGTGTTAATTGCAGGATGTTCGGGCACCTGAATGTTGACTTCCTCACATTGGTGTGGTGTCGGCGCCTCCCTCATAACACTTCGCCGTTTCCCGATTACAAGTTGCTTGCAGTAGGTGCCATCGGCTGGACAGGTCAAGATGGCGGGTTCCTATAGCTCTTTTCCCCCCCTTGTTCAGCTATTGCTCTGGGTCCTGGCATGCCTGAGGTCCCATTGAGGGGAGAGTGATCCTTTTGGTTCCTTGGTAGTTGGTTTAGCCTTGGTTTCTGTCTCTACTTTCTCAGTGTCTAGACTGGCATTTTTCTGTGACTGCCTCTATCAGAGGGTCTGCATGGTGACATACTTTGTTGGTTCGACCTCGTTCACACTACACATCTGGAATTTTTTGTGTGTGCTTATCGTCATCTCTGTGGTGATCAGGTGGTTGCTTTGATTTTGTCCCGCCTGCGATCTTCTTTGAGGCATCAATATGAGGTATTGTGACACTCGTTTCGTTTCCTTTATCTTTGTCCCTGTCTTTCTGTTTCTGAGCAGGTTGTCCTCTCCTTTTTTGGTATGGCTTTTTCTTGATCAGCATTTTATTCTAAATACTATTGAATCATATCCTGCAGCAATTCGTGGAGCCATTGCAACTTATGTTCGGGATCAGTACTACTTCATCTCAGTTTTACAAGCTTACTTGTGTGTTATTTCACCTTCGCCCTGCTCATGCACTGCTTTAGCCTACTTGGTCCCTAAACCGTGTTCTTTCTTTCCTTTTGTTTGCTCGATTTACTGTGTCCTCTTAAGTCCATTATTGTTTCCTGAAGACTTTGTTTTTGGTTTCTCTTGCTTCTGGTTGTCAGGTGGGGGAACTTCATACTCTTCTCCAGTGCAAGGGCTTTTTCTCTTTTGTCCATGGTGGATGGTTTGGTTGCTTGCATCCAGCTCTCTCTTTTTTTGGCAAAGAACATGTCAGTTGGCTTCCAAAGGGGTCCTTTGGTCATTGATGTTTGGTTGGTCTGGCCGGGGGTGCATCGTGTGTTCTGTCCAGTAGTAGCTCTCTGCCACTGCTTTTGTGCCACAGCTTCTGCATCGATGGGGCCTATGTGGGTTGTTCCTGTTACCTTGGTACCTCGTCCAAGACTCTTCTCTTTCAGGTTATCCAGAGTGTCCTTAACCACTGTATTATACCTGCTATATCATGGGGAAAGGGGGGTGAGCCACCCAACATATGTTTGTTAGTACAGTACTGTATATCGTAAGATTCAAATCTTCCACTGGTACACGGGGCTTGCATCCTGTTTCTCAGGACTCCAATAAACAGATGCCATCTTGAAAAAGACAAATTGTATACATCCCTCCTGGTTGAGAGCATCAGTACTGCCAGAGCAGTCAAGGCTGGCGCAAGCAGCTGTCACAGCACAGGTGAACAAGTCGGGGCCACAGCACCACTTAATAATCATGAGTAAAATAAGTAACTGCAATTCTTTTGTTATGATAGTGTCATAGATGATCTTGATTGTAATAAAAATTATGTACAAGGTTCAGTATTGGTGAAAACCATACTAATTATGATGATCACAGCCGGAGGCAGACAATCACAGCACATAGCCGAGGTTTGTGAATCTGCGCATCATGCAAAGTGACCTTATGTTCCTTTAGAAAATCACTGTGGAAAATGATTCATATTCATGATTTAGTGACAGGAATCTGATAATAATAATAGCAGTTTCATAGTAATAATAGTAATGTGCGAGGTATATTCCTGGGTACAGTATTTTGCTCTGTCGTCTACTTCAGTCAGCTGGTCATAGTGTGTCGCTCTCTACTGTGTTAAGATTTCATTACCACACACACCAGAATTACTTAGCGGTTCATTATACCATGTCTGCTACTGGTGGTAGCAGACATGAATATATTAATAAAAATGTTATAAAAGTCACCGCTCTCTGCACCTCTGTGAGGGGGAGGGGGCCAGGTTGTGATTTGTGGTCCCCGGTAGGCTAATATGAACTCCGTGATTGATGGGACCAAGTAGTGTGGCACACTGTCAAAAATACTAGCTTCAGGGAGTCACTAGGGCTCTCTAAGAAATTGACATTTTATTACATTTAAAGCTGTTATTTTGTTTATAAAATTAAATTACTGTATTTAAAAGTAAAAAAACTATTTTTACAGATTTGATTAAATGCTATATTGTACATCTGATACAATCACTTGCTATAGCAAAACCACTAACACTAGAAAGGTGCAGCTAAAACATCATTTATTTCTTTAATTGGTTGTGAAATGTGTTATCATGTGTGTTATCTTGTAATATTTAGGCATGAAGCAGAGTTCTATGGAATAGCCCCACTGGTGAAGCGGTTAATGCTATGCCAGGATTTGCATCATTCATCGTGTGGGGACGTCCTCTTTTGTGGATATCTCTCGCCTCCAAGTAAGTTTCTGTGGGGGTGTGTTTAACCGATATGATAGGAATCCTTACTTATTAATTTTTGTTTTGTACTTACATTTTGCTAAATATAATTGTTAATAGTATATCCCACATACAGTACATAGTTTTTTTTTTAGTTTGTGATGTATTACAGGCATTCCAATTCAAGAGCCTCCAACATCAGTGACAGAGTGCCGTGATGGTCAAAGCAGACCACCAAGCAGTGGCAATATCAATAGTAACAATAACAATAGTGCACCTGGAGGAGTAATACGTTTGCCTGAGGCAGCTGCAGTGGCAGCAGCTGCAGCAACAGCAGCAGCAACAGTAGCAGCAGCAGCCACAGCAGCAAGCACAGGAGTTCCAGGACCTGGTGGAGGGTCTGTAGCAGTCCCCAGACCCAGTCATTCACGCAATTCTTCTCTTGATATGCGTCACAATCCATCTCAGCTTGTTGGACAAGGTATGTACTACAGCCATTATGAAGCTTCAATATTTTCCAATTGAGTAGTTTATTTTTTTCAAGGCTGACTCCTGTAAGATGTCAGAGTAAAAGTGCATTATCATTTGACTTCAATATTTTAAATTTTACAGTATACTAATTACTGATTGAGAGCTTACCAAGCTTCAGTGTCATACCAAATTGCTACTTAAGGTAAGATTCCGCTGTGTTAAAGACAGGATCATTAACAACCAGGCAGATCAGCATTCTAGGCACTGGCATTGCAAGAATCTTTTGAAATGTCTCTTCAAGGTTATAAATGAAGGACTAGGGAGGCATGGGAAAAGATAAATCTAGCTTAGAATAACCATCAGAGGGAGATCTATGAAGACTCCAAGACATACCAAATCATGTTGACCAGACCACACACTAGAAATTGAAGGGACGACGACGTTTCGGTCCGTCCTGGACCATTCTCAAGTCGATTGTGATGAGGACAGGTAGGGACAGGCATTAAATAGGCAAGACAGAGCTGAGGAGGAAAGTCAGGTGTAGGGGATAGTAGTAATGAGAACTGCAGCAGGCCTATTGGCCCATACGAGGCAGCTCCTATTATAACCACCGAAGGAGATAGTAATAGGAATAAGAAGAGGATAGCAAGGGAGCGTAGAAGACAATGAACAGAAAAAGGGAGAAGAGAGAAAGAAAGGGAAAGAGAAAGAAAGAAATGGAAGGGGGAAAGCTTATGTTAAGTCACGTTTGTTAGAAAGATTAGAGCATTTGAGTATATACTGTGAAAGGGAAGAGTCCACAGCAACAAAGCCAGGACTCAAGTTCATGTTGGGTACATTGTTAATAAGAGCCGATTCTACAAGACGGCGTCTGTGTAGAGTAGAGGCAGGAAAGATTATTTTGGAGGAAGACCAATCAATGGGATGATTAGAATCCCTCACATGGCAGAAGAGAGCATTGTTAGTGTCTGCAGACATAACACTTCTCTTGTGTTCTTTAAGTCTGTCATTCAGTGTACGGCCAGTTTCGCCAAAGTATTGGAGAGGACAAGATGAACAGGAAATAGAGTAGACACCAGCAGCATTAGAAGCAGGAGGAGCAGTGTGAACTAGATTGCTACGAAGTGTGTTAGTCGTCGTCGTCGTCCCTTCAATTTCTAGTGTGTGGTCTGGTCAACATACTTCAGCCACGTTATTGTGACTCATCGCCTGCATACCAAATCATCACTTGACATTATATGTGGGTGTTAAGCAAGACTTCGCACTTGTTAATTTGCCACCCTGGCAAAACCAGCTGCTCATCATTGGGTGACAACACTAGCATATACTCAGGGTTCCTAAACCCTGATCATGTCTAATTATTCCAAACTGTGTGCATGTTCAGTTGACAGGCAGAGGCCCTCTACCAATGGATAACAGTGCCCACAATAGGAAAATACAAGCAAGGGCTTCACTGCCATTTAACTGTCTTTTAATATCTTCCCTGGGCACCAGTAAGGTGCACTATTCCATTCCCATGTCTAGATCATATAAATTGAAAGCAGCATTGTTTTGTTGGCTCTCACACCTGATTACAGGGTTGAGGGGCTTCATGCTCTCCTCCAGAGGTGGGGGATTCTGTTGCTGCTGCTCTGGTGGGCAGTGTGGTTGTCTGCAGCTCTTTTCTTTTCTGGCAAAGAATGAGTCAGCTGGCTTCTGGGGGGGTGCTCCTTTGGTGATTGATGCTCTGTGGGTCTGGCTGGGGAATACATCAGTTGTTGTGCTTGGTGGCAGTGCTACAATGTGCCACTGGCTCTGCTTCAGTGGGTAAGTTTTTGGTTTGTTTTGTTCTTGTGTTCCCCTAATCCAAGGCTCATTTTTCTCAGATTGACAGTAGTGTCATTACAGCTAGCTAGCCTGTGGGCTACCGCTGGGGCCCGTTGATGATCGGAGGTACACAACGTTGGCTACTGTCTTTCCCTATGTGTCGTGGAGAGGACAGAAGTCTTCTCCTGACATTCGGGCTTGGGAATTTTGGTGGTTTAATAGGTCCATTAATTGTTTCATGTCTCTGATCTCTGTCAATCTTTTATGGTACTGGGCTGGGTTATCAGCCCTTGGTCTCTTCTTTGTCCTAGTTGCTGCTATTTCTCCTCCCTGATATGTCATTTGTTTACCCTACTTCTCTATGGATAGAGAAGCCACAAAGAGCCCCTTCAGGAGGTCATTAACCCTTTAACTGTGCAATGCGCCTGCAGGCCCACATCTGGGGTGCGCTATGCGCCTCTGGGTATTTGTATTTTTCATGTTCCATTCAAAACTCCCACGGCTACATGGGGTTCACATCAGCTTCCTCAGGGCTCTTGTAAACAGACGCCATCTTTAAAAAAAATCGTGGTCAACATTCCCAGGTGTGAGAGCCTCAGTAGTGAGTGAGCAACCAAAGCCGGCACACACAGCATGAGCTCACAGCACTGCTATTCAGCTTGTGACCACAGCATTGCCTAATAATGTCAAAATGTATTATTTATCCATGATAGTATTACAGAAGAGCCTGAGTGTGATAATGACTGTGTACAATGTTCAAATATTAGTGATTCAATGCTGTTCACGATGTTCACAGCGCTAGCCACAGCACCACAGCATTATTTCGTTCATCCAGGAATCTTCAAACAACTTCTTAGGTTCCTTTACAAAATAAACTTTTGGTCAATTATGTATTTACAGGATTTAGAGACCAGTACTGTGATAACAGCAGGATTGTGGTAATAATAAGCACTGTGCATAGTATTGTGGGAGGAGTAATTGTGGTGAGGGAGCGAGGGAGAGAATCGAGGTAGCTTTACTGTGTGGCAGCTACTCCTGTTGTGCTCATCATACTAGCTTAGTGGTTCGCTATGATGAACACATTTGTACATGAGTATATACAATATGTGTGTATATAGTGTAGTAACAGCAACAGGAGTATGTTGGGAGGAGCTATTTTCGTGAGGGAGGTGACGTAATCGTAGCATCGTCTGCTGGCTGCTGTGTGCTTTCTCATGCAGTATATGGTGGCCACTGTAAAGTTTGTACACAATACCGGCTTACTTGCATAGTTCTGGTGAATAAAACATGTAGATAGGTATACATAACATGTGTAAATAGTGTAATACAAACAATAACAGTATGGTGGGAGGAACAATGTTGGCGAGTAAGATGTTGGAGGAGTGAGGGTGTGGCAGCTGTCACTCGTGGAGTTTTGAGTGTGTTTATGGTGAATGTATGTAGTGTGTGATAGTGTATAGTGTGTAAATAGACTGTATATATACATAAATTACCATAATACAATGGAAATATGTGCCAGATATGTGTACACATGTGACATGCACGTAACACAGTGTCTTCGGACAGTACGGATGTTCTACTGCCATAATATAGTGTACGTGTTCATTATACATAGGATTGGCACGTAAAAGCATATAAAAATGTATTTGGAACTGTGCGCAGAAAATGAACAAAAATATATTCGTGGCAACTCGCGCATCCTGCCCCGAGCGCCCTACCAGCCCCAGGGGCGTATGCCACGGGCGACCAGGAAATGATGATGTCACACACAAACTTACGTACCCCATAGCAGCTAAAGTACTTACAATTTCGACCTTCTGTTACTATATCCTTACTCAGGGAAGGGTTTTTAACACTTTAAATACAGAAAAAAAAATTCCAGAGATTTTATTTCCTGCGCACTGGGGGGTGTCATATTTGGAGGCCGCGCAGTTAAGGGATTAAGGGGCTCCTCCTTAAAATCCAGCATTAATTGTAATGAGATGCCTCTTCCTGGTTGAGCTGCAGTGGCTTCCTGACTCCTTTTCCTCCTACCATGCTCATTGTTGTGTTGTCCATCAGCTCCAGACTGACCATTGGAGCCGGCTGTAGGATGGACTTCTGGGTCAGGTGGTGGTGGCTATCAATACTAACAGATTTGATCTAGGTAAGAGAGAGAACTAATTATATCTTGTGAATTGTTTGCAGAGTTGTTTGGCAGATTTGATCCTCATTTTCTATGAATTTTGCTTGTTCTCTGTAAAACTTTGCTGACTTTCTGAATGCTTTCCCAGTGAGGGGTCTCTGAAAGGCCAAACAGGACTCTTGTGACTGATGTGACCTAGTAGTGAGGAGCCATCTCAAGTGAGACAGCTTCAGAGTGCCACTGGTGCTCTACCAGAAAGAGGCATTTAATTACATTCAACTCTGGGTTTTTCGTGTGTTTATAATAGTAAGAGAGTTTGCTACCCTGTGTTATATACTGTATATCTATGTACTTCCTATGATTAACCACTGGACTGCGCCAACTGAGAAAACTCGGTTGGTGAGAAACTGCGCCAACCGCAGTTTCAACCGCCAACCAATTGAATGCGCCAACCAATTGAATTTTCCCATAAGAAAATTTTCCTGGCTGGGGAGCAAGGTACTGTGCAGCTGTCTGATATATGCAAAGTAACCAGTTCTGTTCCCCTAGAAACGTTGTGCTTTTGTGTGTGTGGTTGACCCTATGCTAGGTCCCCTTGCTTGCACACATCACGGGTTCAGCTTTTAGTTTGTTTGCCTGGTAGCTTTGGGATAACCCAGATAGCAGTACCTTGCAAGTCCTGGCTTGCTTGGAGACTTACCAGGGGAGGGTAGTCCTTTTGGCTCCTTGTTGGCTGGCCTAGCCCTGGTTTCAGGCGCTGCTTGCTCGGTGTCCGAACCCGAGGGTCTTCCCACAGCTCCACCTCTTTCAGAAGATCGGGCCTGTCCCTTTACGTAGTTGGTTCGATCATCTCATGTCTTCATGTCGGGTCTTTCTGATGCGGGTCTATCACCACTTGTATGGTGAGCAGGTGGCATCATTGACAGTGTCCCACCTGCATGCTTCATCTCGGCAACAGTATGAAGTTTCCTGGTGGTCCTTCCATTATTTCTTGACCCTCCATAGGTTTTCTTTTGTTTTGGATCGGGTTGTTTGTCCTTCCTTTCATGGTTGTTTCAGAACCATCATCTTATGCTGAATACTGTCGCCTCGTATCGTGCTGGCACTGGCGCAGCCGCGTCATCTTGCGTTCGGGGTGGATGTTACTTCTGCTCTGTTCATTATAATGCTCGTGCATTATTTCACCTCTGGCCTGCTCATGCACTGCCCGAGCCATCATGGTTGTTGGACCTGGTACACTATTTTTGTCTCTCCTTGGTTTGTTGGCATTGGCCTTTGGGCGTTAGGTTGGGGAGCTTCATGCTCTTCTCTGGCACAGAGGTTTCTGCTCTTTTGGTCCTAGTGGTAGGATTGTTCATTTGCAGCTGTTTCCTTCTTTTCTGGCGAAGAATGAGATTGCTGCTTTCCGGAGGGGTCCTTCGGTCGTTGATGTTTGATTCTGCCGGGGGTGTATAATGTGTTGTGTCCGGTTGCGGCTCTTCGTCGTTACCTGCGCGCCACTGCCTCAATGGCTAGTCGGGCATGTGTCACATTGGGCCGACAGTTGCAGCCAGTTGTCTCAACTTCGAGTTGAGGAGCGAGTGGTGACCGCCTCCCGGGTAAGTCCCTCTTGTTTTATCTTTGGTTAAATAGCTCCGGGGAGTTGAAGGGGCTTCCCCCAGAAAACCAGCATTGAATGTAATGAAACACCCATTTCTGGGTGAGACCGGCGGCTCCCCAGCAACCCTCCCTCCGGTTGGCAGAACCGTAGGTGTGGATAGCCAGCACAGGGATCTGGTGCACCACCTTCTCCCTCCCAGGGAGAGGGGGAAGCTGCGTAGATAGGAGTTTGGTGACAGTTGTGACATCTTGCTCGTTAGCTCATTTTTCGTTTGGGGAGTTCTGTCCAACAGTTCGGCTTTCAGTAGTAATTTTTTATCCAGATAGGGGTTGTTTTGGGGTGCCCACCTTTCTGGGTGCCTGACCCAGTCGATGACAGACATAGGACATTGCTCCTTGTGTGTCTTGAGGGGGACCAGGTTCTTGCTCGTGGTTCCCTGTAGGCCTAAGAACTCTATTCGCTTTGACTGACGCCAGGGTCTAATACATTAATATCAGCCTGGATATCCAGGGAGCCTCCAGGTCTCGTCCAGAAATTGATGTTTCATTACATTCAAAGCTGAATTTTTTCTTGTGCACCATGGGGATGTCAGCATTTACCAGTTGTGCTGTTTAAGGGTTAAATCTTAATCTCTCACACAAACATTTTGAACTACAAGACACAAAGCCATTCAATTGTCCCATATCACTTTTCATTAACACTTCTTATTTTTGGTCAGTCTAGTTATACAATATTTATTCCATTTCCTTCTTCATTCTCACTTCCCTTCAGTTTTTCTCACACAACCAAGCACACCACACTTTCTTTCATTAAAATCTTTTGCCTCGTTCAACATATCCTGCGTTTGTTCCTATAATCTTCCACACAGCCATTGAAGCTTTCTTTGCTTTTATGTGTTAGCCTCACATCAGAGGCCCGTTTGACCTTTTAAGGGTAAGACTATGAAAAGATTAGTCCCCAGCCCAGTCTCTCCTGGAAGGTCTGATTGCACCACATACTGGTGGTGGTGGGAGGCATCATATCCCTATGCCATTTAGTATCTCGCATACAAAATTAATTAACTAACATGTCACATCTGTCCCAGGTCTTCATAATGGTGTGTATCCTGGCCACATGTCCCGTAGCTCAAGTGATCTTCGCAGCCATGCAGCCAGATCACACTCCAGAACGCCCTCCATGGATCTCAGGCATTCGCGGAATTCTTCTGCTGATCTCAATAAATTCTTCAAGAATGAAATAAATGTTTTGAATAATGCCGGACCTCCAGGTAACTCGTCAAACATTCATAATTTATACCTTCATTTTTGGTATGAAAATTTCAAGGAATTGTTATTTCTAGATCTGTTTGATATGTAGTATCTATAAAAAAAAACTCAGCATTTTATGTAAGAAAACAGGTTTATATATTTTTTTATTTTTTTATTTATTTACAGTATTTATATATCTATTTACCTACTTACATATTTACTGTTCTTATTTACTTACTTAATTGCTTGCTTGCTTACCTACCTTCTTCCTTACCTACTTGCTTACCTATTTACTTACCTACTTACCTACGTACTTACTTAAAGAAAGTACATTGGGTTAACCACTTAACTGCGCCAACCGAGTATTTTCGGTCAGCAGGAAACTGTGCCAACCGAGAAAACTCTTTGATTTTTCGGTACCAATTCTAAATGTGGACGAGGTTGGTTGTGTACGAAATGAACTCTTAGGACCTCCAGTGAAAGGCAGCCATCTTGGAAAAAAATCCCAGAATTCCCTAGGGCTGCTGGCTGGGTTAGTACTGAATGAGCAACCATGGGTGGCGCACGCGCCTCTGGCTCCCAAACACCTGTCCAACGCGGTGTTGAAAGATAACGCTCTGTCGGTGAAATTCAAACCTTACTGTTTGAAGAACATAAGGGTCATAATATTGGTGAAGTTAGGCGCAATAAGGACCTAACACAAAGATCGGATGCAAGTGATACAGCACCTATGAGGAAGATATAGCGAGCGTATCCAGTTGTAGTTCTGAGAGTCACCCTTGCAATCCTATGCTATCTCCAATTTATTTAGATGATACATAGATGAATCGTTTTCTGCGTTCAGTGGTGATGATGCATCCGATACAAATAGCACAGATGAACAGTGTTAGCGGCTTCCATGGTGATGTTTTCCATAGATATTTTCAAGAATACCTGAATCTCTTCCTGACTGACAGACACTCTTTGAGGCTAGCTGAATCTCTTCCTGTGTGGGACCATACAAAGCGATCTTTTCAAGACTACCTTACAAATTGATCTTTTCCTATAATCTTTTCAATACTACCTTATGCTTTACAAGCTTGGCTACATACAACCTACAAGTACTAAAGCCAAGGGTGTACGTGAGTGTGTTATTTGCAAGCACACAGAATGAAGAAACAGGAAGCAAAAATTTATCTGTACCTGGTGCACTGAGAGCGAAGTCGCGCTGTGTACCATGGACTACTTCGTTGATTATTACTCACTTCCGAAGTACTGAGTGTGTAATACAGTGTGTTACTGTGTAAATAGTGTGTGAAACTGTACATATTGTAATTTTAGTGAATTTTTAACAAGTAATATTGCGACAATAAACATTTATTGTGGACACATTACTGACACATGTATCACAGTTCCATGGAACATTATGAACGTTCTACTGTATACATATTGTAAAGGACACAAATATGCATCATATACGATAAAAAAACAAATAAAACCGCATTGGAAATACATAGAACAAATAATTGAAAATATATTTGTGGCAACACCCGGTGCTTGAATGGCCCGTGCGACCGTGTCTGGGCGAGTCACGCACGGGCGACCAGGCCCTGATGACGTCACAGCGCACCTTGTCCACATCCCCACAGCCAAAGTAAGTGGAATTTGGTATTTATTTTTACATAGACATGTTCAGGGAAGGGAATTTATCATTTTACGAAGAAAAAAAAAATTTTTGGGGAACACTTTATTTCATGCGCACAGGGGGAATTTCACAATAAACTCGGCGCAGCACGGTGGTTAATAGGATCTAGGAATGAAGTTTTGTTAGTGTAAGTAGCACAAGAGAGTGTGTGTATGTTTAGCATGTTAGGGATTTAAACAGAGTGGCTGTGTGTTGTCTGAAGGCAGAGTTTGTTATAGATCTGATAGATTTTTGCTTTGTGACGGTAGACTTGAGGTAGTTTGCAGTCGTTGATTCCTGTGCACAGATACCATATGTTAGATAGGGATAAATAAGTGAGTAGTATAGTATAAGAAGAGCTATCTTGCTAAATGCACGTTTTTCAAATGGGTCACATCAGACACGGAAGATTTGTTTGTCCTACTGTTAGCTAGAGCCAAAACCTGGTCCCCTCAAAAAGAGGTGCAGAGAGTAAATGACATTTCACCACCCCCACTGGGAAAGCATCCAGAAACCTTACCTACAATTGGCAGGTTAACAAAGACCAAATCCTCAAAATATCAAACAACTCAGCGGACGATTTACAAGGAACAAGAGAAATATTTAAAATTAGCATGAAACTTGTAGTACTGACTACAGTACTCTCTCTTACCCAGCCTCTATGGGAAGAAGCCCTTGCCATATAAGCAAGACATCTGGATAAGTAGAAATTCTTACTGCAAGTGTCCAAAAATGTACATACAGTACTGTATTTACAATTAGTTGTACCACCACCACCACCACCATCATAATTTGTATTTCCTCATACACGATACATGGTTAGAGGATTTTCACATACAAATTCAGTTCTATACTAACACTTGAAAGAATTTAGTGACAAAATTTCAGCTTACCTTGATGGAGTTTGTCTGCTTAATTATTAAAGAGCTTCAGAATGATCATTTATCTCAACAAATATGGGTTGAGATGGAGAAGGAAAGACAGGTGCTCAAGGACTACATTAAGGAAGAAATCAGGAAGACAAGGAAAGAGTGGGAAGACACATGTACAAGACTTGACAAAACAGAATAAGGAAGGCATAAGAAATATAACATAGATGGGGAGATCGGATTAGTGGGAAATGGATTAACAAGTGGGGAAGAGACAGCCAGCAAATGTGTAGGAGACAACAAGGATAAAATACAGAAATTGGAAGAGCAACTTCAGAAAATTGCTCTATTATGGGGCAATGTAGGCAATATTACTAGAAATGACAGTCAAGGAAAGGATACATACTCAGTAAGGACTGCAACATTGAGAGGTAAGAACCAGCATTTAAGTGTTGCAGAGGAGGCTGTCAAATATAATCCATGGATTACTTGAAGCAAATGCAACATTAAAGCAGGAAAGAATACATATTGAAAAGTTTGAAATAGGCGAGTGATTAGGAAATAGTGATGCCGAGATGGCAGGAAACGAGATTGAGCTAAACCACCAAATTGGGGCTTATAATGGGGCCAGAAATGTCCTGGTCTAGTGCAATTCTCCAATGAGGAGGCAGTGGACTACATATTGAAGCACAAACATTTACTAAAGGGCAGTGAAGGTTATTACAATGTGTTTATTGACAAATACATGACCAAGGAGGAGCAACAAGAGCTGAGGGCAAAGAGACCTGCATGTGGCAACAGATGCCTCCATGATCTGACCCATCCTTGTCCCAGCACTTCTTTTCCCAACCCCCATACTCCCTAAATCAGCCCTCCCATCCCTCCATCTCCCTTCTAACCCCAACAACTCCTTTACCCCTTCTGCACTCTATCACCTCTCATCTTTTAGTCCCTTTCCTCTCCTGTCCCTATGACCCCATAATACTTCATCTCCTCATGACCTCACCCTTCACTGCCCCTATCCTCCCTTCCACCCACAAACTCCTTGCACCCCTTCCCCTCTGCACCTTGGCTCCCGTATGACTATGCCACCGTGTGACCCCCCACCAGCGTCTCTCCTCCCTTTACCTCTTCACTGCCCGTAACTACTGGACTGCGCCAACGGAGAAAACTCGGTCAGTGGGAAACTGCACCAACCGAGAAAACTCTTTTTAATTTTTTCATACCCATTCAAAATGTGTTCGCGGTTGGTTGTGTACGAAATGGACTCTTAGGACTTCCAGTGAGGGGCAGCCATCTTGGAAAAAATTCCCAGAATGCCCTAGGGCTACTAGCTGAATTAATACCAAGAGTGAGCACCCATGGGTGGCGCATGCACCTCTGGCTCCCAAACACCTATCCGACGCGTTGTTAAAAGGTCGCGCTCTGTCGGTGAAATTCAAACCTTATTGTTTGAAGAATAAAAGGGTCATGATATTTGTGAAGCTAGGCGCAATATGGACCTAACACAAAGGTCAGATGCAAGTGATGCAGCACCTATGAGGACGATACAGCGAGTGTATCCAGTTGTAGCTCTGAGCACCACTTTTACCCACCTATGCCATCTCCAATTTATATACATGATACATAGATGAATCGTTTTCTGCGTTCAGTGATGATGCATCTGATACAAGTAGCATAGATGAACAGTGTTAGCGGCTTCCATGATGGTGTTTTCCATAGATATTTTCAACAATAGCTGAATCTCTTTCAGACTGACTAACACTCTTTGAGGGTCACTGAATCTCTTCCTGTGTGGGACCTTACAAAGCGATCTTTTCAAGACTACCTTACAAATTCATCTTTTCCTATAATCTTTTCAATACTACCTTATGCTTTACAAGCTTGGCTACATACCACCTACAAGTACTAAAGCAAAGGGTGTACATGAGTGCGTTATTTGTAAGCACACAGAACGAAGAAACAGGAAGCGAAAATTTATCTGTACCTGGTGCAACGAGAGTGAAGTCGCGCTGTGTTCCATGGACTACTTCATTGATTATTACTCACTTTCGAAGTACTGAGTGTGTAATACAGTGTATTACTGTGTAAATAGTGTATGAAACTGTACATATTGTAATTTTAGTGAATTTTTAACAAGTAATATTGCAACAATAAACATTTATTGTGGACACATTACTGACACATGTATCACAGTTCCATGGAACATTATAAACATTCTACTGTATACATATTGTAAAGGACACAAATATGCATCATATACGATAAAAAAACAAATAAAACCGCATTGGAAATACATAGAACAAATAATTGAAAATATGTTTGTGGCAACTCGCGGTGCCTAAATGGCCAGCAAGACCGTGTCTGGGAGCTTCACACACGGGTGACCAGGCCCTGGTGACGTCACAGCGCACCTTGTCCACATCCCCACAGCCAAAGTAAGTGGAATTTGGTATTTATTTTTACATAGACATGTTCAGGGAAGGGA